GCCTCTATCGGGAGTATGCTGCGATTTTTCCTCTCGGAGAGTAAGGCGTTGGGAGATATCCTCTGATCCATTCGTGTGATATACGTTTTGTTGCGTCGTATCGACCGGTTTTGGGCCGAGTTTGTTTTGCTTATTTGCATGATGCTTTACTCTTTGATTAGGAACCTTTCTCTCTTCCTGTAAAAAGAAGGGGGGTGTATTTTTTATTGCTCGATATAATAATACATGTTCTTGCTTTAGCGAGGTTTAGCTATATTGACCATTTTGGCTTGGTACATTATCTCCCCGTAGGGACCTTTGTTTGGCGCTTCCCTACCTCCCATGAATCCAGTGGATTTCAGGGGGAAAGCTCCTAGCTTCTTCGAAAGTTGGCCGCAAGGGTGGCTTCGAGCGATCTTGTGGAGTTTCTCTTCCGGTAGCTTCGCGGGCGTTGCCTCATTAAAAACCTTGCCGGTAAAAACCCTTCTTCTTTTTGGAATAAAAAACTCGGTCCAAGGAAAAGAGTGCAACGGGCGCGTCCTTTTAGGGGGTCTCGAAGTCTTTTGATAGCGGCAGTGTGCTGGTATCTTTGGTCGAGTGCCTGCACGAGGGTTAATTTCTAATTTGGAAATAAAATAAAAGAAATGGCGGTACCTTGGGACGGGATATGTGGGCGGTGCCTTGAAGCTGATTTGTTACGATTGCCCGAGGTTGGAACCGTGATGCGGATTCCTCTTTTTGCGTTTATCAAACCCGACCAGTGTCGAGACCCGATTTGCCCGAGGGCTTATCTGGAGGCGGAGGTACAAGCGCCGATAGTGCGTCGTGTATTGCGAACATTTCTCTCGCCGCGTGTTGTTCTCCGTAGAAGGTTTTGATTCCGTCCTTTGTCGGGAATTTTATCATTTGGTGGAGGGTGGATGGTACTGCCCTCATGCAATGTATCCACGGTCGTCCGAGCAAGGCGTTATACCTCATGTCTCCCTCGATGACATGGAACTTGGTGTTTCGGGTTGTGCCGGCCACAATGATGGGGATGACGATCTCTCATTTCGTCGTTTCGCTCGCCATGTTGAACCCGTTAAGGACCCGAGTGGCGGGCACGAGCGGTTCGGTTAATCCGAGTTGTTCTACCACACTCGACCCGATAATATTGGCCGAGCTACCTGGATCCACGAGTACATGTTTTATCTGAAAAGAATTTACAAGAAAGGAAATTACCAGGGCGTCGTTTTGGGGTTGAGATAGGGCCTCTATGTCTTCTTCACTGAATGTAAGGGCGTCCTCGGGGATGTATCCCCGAGTCCGTTTCTCCCTGGTGATGGATATTTTTGTTTTCCTCATCATGGGTTCCTGCGGGGTATCGACGCCCCCCATGATCATGTGGATGACGTGTTGTGGTTCGTTTACTTCATTTTTCTTGACTGCCTCACTATCTCGGAACTAATTTTTGGCCCGATCGCTGAGGAATTCCCGGAGATGCCCTTTGCTAAGTAGTCGGGCTACTTCTTCTCGAAGTTGATGGCAATCCTCGGTCCGGTGGCCGTGTGTGTTGTGGAACTCACATATCAAGTTGTAATTTCTCTGCGAAGGGTCTGATTGCACTGGTCTGGGCCATTTTACATCCCGGATTTTGCTGATAGCAAACACAATGTCTGATACGTCGATGCTGAAATTGTATTCCGACAAGTGGGGTGCGTTGGTTGGTGCCATGTTTCAATCAAACCTGGTCCTGCTGATGATCCCCCGAGGATCCTGTCCACGTTCCTCCTGTCTTCGAGGTACGGTTGATACCTTTCTTTGCTTGGTTTTGTCTCTTTCGCCAGGAGTCTATTTGGGTATACTGAGCCCGACGGGCCCCCCAGCTGGTCATCCTCTGCCCTGATCTTCGATTGGTACCGGTTGTGGACGTCCGACTAGGTCACGGCCGGTTATTCGATTAGATTCTGCTTAAGCTATTTCAAAGCCATAGAGCTTCGCTCATTCAGGCCTTTGGTAAAGGCATGTACTGCCTAATTGTCCGAGACTGGTGGTAGCTTTCCGCTCCATCTGGAATCGGGATACGAATTCCCGCAGCATCTCGTTCTCTCTCTGCTTGATTTTGAAAACGTCGGACTTCCTTGTCGATACTTTGATGGCTCCGGCGTGTGCTTTTACGAAAGAGTCCGCTAACATGGCGAATAAATCTATGGAGTTGGGAGCCAAGTTATGGTACCACATCATGGCTCCCCGAATTTTTTCGGCAGCATGGACTCGGTCTCGTTGTTCTTTATGTCGTTACCTTTTACTGCGCAGGTGTACGCAGTGACGTGTTCGTTGGGGTCGGAGGTGCCGTTGTACTTGGGGAGTTCCGGCATTCTAAACTTCTTCAGGATAGGTTTCGGGGCCGCTTCTTCGGGGAATGGCCTTTGAATGAATTTCTTTGAATCTAAACCCTTAAGAACCGGGGGAGCGCCTGGGATCTGATCGACCTTGGAGTTATAGGTTTCGACCCTTTTATCGTTGGCTGCGATCATTTTTTCTCCTGATTCGATCCTTTTGGTGAGGTCCTCGAGAATTTTTACGATGGCGGGGTCGGCTACTGACCCGTTGTTGCTTGACTTTTCGAGTACTCGCTCGACGGGGGGAGCCGTCTCCGGTGCCACTGTACTAGGGGTTCTCGGATGGCTTTGTAGCTGAGCGATGGCTAGTTGCTGTGCCTGCAACATTTCAAAAATAATATGAAAACTAACTTCCTGTTCTTCCCGGGCCGGGGTCTTTTCCGCTTCCTGTTGGTTGTTACGTCGTACGCTCCAGTCGGTGTGAGAAGTTTCGTCTACTTGTTGCGCATCCTGCGAATCTGCGTCTACTAGGATTGGTCCGGGAACGACGTCAGGATTCTGCGGAGGTGCGCCAGCGGTCGTGACAGCGACGTCGTTTTCCCCATGGTCTTCGAGGTTGTTATTCTCAACTCTATTTATCGATCCGGACATTCTGACCTGCAATCAAAGGGTTCTCGGGCAAGAAAAAGTGTGAAAGATATTGTGCGTTTGAGTGAAGAAACTAACAAGAGAATAATCACTAATATTTTTAGCCCCACGGTGGGCGCCAAACCGTTTACCGTGAAAATGGTAACAATAATAAGATTTGTAAATGGGATTCTAAAAATACGTGATCTATTCTCGAGCTAGTTTGTTAAGGCAGTTAGTGCTAAAGCGTGAGGTAAAATGATAAAAATCGAGTTAAGCTAAGTAGTAATCGAACCAGTAAGGGGCTGTTGCCCAGGCGTAAGATCGGCCAGTGGGTGCCTCGGGGCTGAGGTGCAAGCCTTTCTCGGGCTATCCAGGATAGCCGGGGAGGGGATAACAAGTGAAGATAGAGCTAGACCGGGCTCTATCTTGTCAATATCGAGCGAAATAATAGAAAATAGCTAAGAAAACGATAAAATGCTAAGGCAGCCTCAAGGGATACTGAACAATAAACAAGGGGAATATCTAACAACCGCAATAACTTTGAATCAGAGAGAAACAAGTGAATTTTATAAAGAGAGAGAGAGAGAGAGAGAGAGAGAGAGAGAGAGTATTATTGCTCTTCGTGAGGTAATTGGAGGTCTCTTACAAGGTGTTGGCGACCCTTCTTTTATAGAAAAAAGGGGGGTCCAAACTCAGTACGGAATACACAGTACAACAAAAGAATGAGATGTGACAACCCATTTTTCTTGTGTCGTATGAGGACTGGCATCGAGCCGTTTGGATAAGTCTCATGGACCCCGGATACATCTCTCAGGGGATATCTTCGCCCATCGGGGGCCTTAGCTGATGTCCGATCTGGGCAAGGCGTTGATAGATCTCGAGAGAAGCGACTGATGCGAGATCCCGTGCCTTCGGGGTTTACTCTTTGAAGCATTATGTTGGGGGAAAATCGGTCTCCTGATTTCCCCGCGCACAATAAGTATAACTGTCTCGAATGAAAGAAAAGTAAATAGGGGGAAAGTGGAAGATGACTTAAAGGTCTGCGAACGCCAGCAGATCTACCTCGAGTCTTCAAATTCTAGTCAGAGCTGAAACGCCTTACGGACAGCTGGGACCAGTACCCAAATCTGCACAAGAAGTGCAGAGTGTAGTATAAGTACAACCGACCTAATGTACTCGGTAAGTGTCGAGTCTGACCTCGGTGAGGTAGTGATGAGGCTATGTTAGGACACCCTATGAATAAACCTGTGCAGATAAAAATATACGTACAACATAACAACAAATAAGGCTAAACATATGCTATTGGGAGGGGACAAGCGAAAGGGTGCAAAAATACAGTAACTACAATAGGGAATGAAAACAAGAAACAGTCAATAAGACTTCAACGGGTAAAATAAATAAACAAAATGAATAAAATTGCATGGCATCACCCTTCGTGCGTTTACTCTCAATCTCACTATAAGACAATAACAACGGCACGGCATCACCCTTCGTACTTTTACTCTGAATTTTATCATGAAATAATAGATATGGCACGACATCACCCTTCGTGCATTAACTCTCAAATACGGCGCGACATCACCCTTCGTGCATTAACACTCAAATATGACACGATATCACCCTTTGTGCATTAACACTCAAATACGGCACGACATCACCCTTCATGCATTAACACTCAAATACGGTACGACATCACCCTTCGTACATTAACACTCTCCCTTATCATGCAACAGGAACATATAACAATTGGGAGATAGAATAAACAAGGACAAACCTTACATCAACAATGGTTTCACATACCAACCTCAACCTCGGAAACAATACTCAATTATCACAGATAGCCCATAAATGTAGAAGAACGATCAATTTAGTAATTAACTAGTCTAAGCATGGATGTCATGATCAAAGAAAGCAATAACTTCAAGAAACAAGTCCCACCGCAAGCTTTAATCCAACAACAACGCATAAGTACTCTTCACCTCACATATACATTGTATCCCACATTTAAACGGGTAACAAATACGCAAACAAGTCCTAATCTCTCAAGTCAAGGTTAACCACGACACTTACCTCGCTCCAAGGATCAACTCAAAGCTCAACCATGGGTTTGCCTTTCACACAAGCCTCTGAACAAACCAAATCTAGCAAATTATTAATCAAACGATTCAAAATAAGCCTTAGGAACTATCCACGAATGAAAAAGGTTAAATTTCGGTCATTATTGAAAAAGTCAACTCCCGCGCTCCAAACCCAAAATTCGGAACAAAACACGATTACCCATTCACCATCGAGCCCAGTTATGTAATTTGTTTCAAAATCTGACCTTAATTTGAGGTCTAAATTGCAATTTTACAAAAATCCCTAATTCTATCCAAACCCCCAATTTCCATTATGAAAATCCTAGATTTTAGGTTGAAATCTTATGAAATGTAATGGAAGATTGAAAGAACATAGGCCAGAATCACTTACGAATGAATTGGGGAAGAAGGGTTTTGGAAAAATTGCCTCTAGGGTTTCTAGGTTTGAAAATTTGAGAAAATAAACCAAAATCCCATTTTTCCCATCTTAAGTTCACGCGCAGATGTCGAAATTATGACCCGGGGTTCGCAATTGCGAACCCCGCAAATGCGAGAAATCCTTCAAAATTGCGAAGGTCTCACATTCCTGCTGTCATCGCAATTGCAATGGTGTGTCCACAATTGCGAATATGAACTCCTCACAATTGCGATCATTTGATCACAAATGCGAACACTGTCCCCCCCCCCCCCCCCCAGCCCCACTTCGCAATTGCGATGAAATTGGTTGCAAATGCGAACCTGATAGGGCTGCTGCCATATCGCAAATGCAAGGCCAGACCTTGCAATTGCGAGGTCTGAGGCTTGCACTAGAAACTGAATAACACCGTCATTGTTTTCTAAGTCCAAACCACTTTGTGGCCTATCTGAAACTCACCCGAGCCCTCGGGGCTCCAAACCAAACATGCACACAAATTCAAAAATATCATATGAACTTGATGCGCGATCAAATCACCAAAATAACACCTAGAACTATTAATAGGACACCAAATTAAATGAATTTTTCAAGTTAACTTTTAGAATTGCTAGTTTAACAACCGGACGCCCGAATCACGTCAAACTAACTTCGTTTTTCACCAAATTTGACATACAAGTCATAAATATAGTAATGGACTTATACCAGGTTCCGAAACCAAATTACGGACCCGTTATCAATAAATTCAAACATTGGTCAAACGTTCAAAGTCAGTAAGCCTTTTAACTTTCAAATTTTGACAAAAAAAGTAATAACTCGAGCTAGGGACCTCCGAATTTGATTTCCGCGCATACGGTCAAGTCCCAAATCATGCTATGGACCCACCTGGATCGTCAAAACACGGATCCGGGTTCATTTGCTTAAAATGTTGGCCGAAGTCAACTCAAATGGATTTTAAGGCAAAATTTCATATTTTATCAATTTTAAGCATAAAAGCCTTTCGGAGAACCACACGGACTGTGCATGCAAATCGAGGAAGGCTTAAAAAAGCTATTGGAGGCTTTAAAACACATATTTAAGGTTTAAAACTCTAGATGACCTATCGGGTTATCACAAAGAATAATAAAGACATTTAATCAACACCGTTAGTATCTTACACATATGTATAAACAAACAACAATTCTTATTTAAAAATGATACAAGAGTAAAGGGAATGGACTCACAGTTTGGGCCTAAGAAATATTAGACCCAGTAGATATCGAACAGCAGCAGCAGGCTTTAGTGACTCGGACTTTGGGCGGGAACTCGGGTCTATGTTCTTGAGAACTCGGCAGGCCCAGTTCGAACACATATGCAAAAGAAAGAGAGTTATTAGTGTACGAGGCCCAATATAACATTTAAATGCAGTTAAGGGTACAATAGGGCCAGTGTAAGGCCCAAATAAAACTATAACAAGCGTTGTAATTAAGGATGCAATAAAGCCAATGTAAAGTTAAATACAGTAAATAAAACAATATTCAAGGTGAAGCCTTTTCTTTCATTTAGCACCAATCCTAAAGAGATTAATAAATGTCAATGATTAAGAGCTTAAGGTAAAATCGCATTCATGGACAAGACACCCTTTGGATCCCTAGCACTTCATAGTTCACAAGTATCTCAGGGACCCCAAGCAGTTCTTGTGTCAGGGAGGGCATCTCAACCACAAACAAATCCTACTCCTAAATACCCTTAACCATTCACACTCACTCTTCCCTATATGTGTAAATGTCAACGAGGCATTCACTATAACATCTAATGTAACAATAGCAATAACACACAGATTCAAGTATGCACACCCCTTACGGAAACTATACAGAGTACCATTATGAGTATGAGAGACCACATTACATTATTGAGATCACAGTCCAAACACATGTGTGTAGTACACTGTCAACACTTACTTATATGTATAAGAATACTCAAGAGGATCCAACCACATATCAAACAAAAGAGGCGAACAGCAGTAGACTAGTTTAGAAGTGTAACACTAAATCATGTGATTTAAGGGATAAAGAGGATACATATATCTACTGATTAGTTAAAGTTTACATGAGTTCCTGGTTGAGTTGCAGCATTTTGTAGCTTATCAAACTATGTCTAAGTTCATTAGAGGTTCACACATATAGATTAAATCTTCTCCTCTTATTAGATGTATGAATTAACAGCCTCATTCAGAATCTCTAAAGAGTGTTAACAAGGGTACTTGTGCAGACAGACAGGTTAATCCCAACTTAAGCTAGTAACATGATCACTCTCTCTTAAAGTTCACAATCTCATATTCACTCTAAACTCATTAAGAGTTAAGGCATTCATATGAACACAGTGTTGTACTCAAGCAGGGCAGGTAAACATCAGAAAGTTTCTCTTAAGTTCATAGGTGAATCATAGTCAACTTATATAAGCATAGCAAGGTTGAGTTTCCTTTATGTGATAATGCAGCATGAGAGCACATGCGTAAGTATGAAGGACATACAGAAAGTTTGATCCAGAAAGTTCCAGGACAGGTAAATCATTGTTTTGCTACTTATACGCTACTCATCCCTAGGAAAGGGTAAAATAGCAAAACAATGATTTACCTGTCCTGACTAAACTCGCAACTGAAAATAGGTTGCTTGATGGTTCCCTGAAGCTGCACTATTTGAGGACTTAATTTCGTTTTATCTTCAAACTGGAAAACATATCTTGGATCAGGGTCCAGCTTCACTCTCAAATGAAGCTCCACTCCAGGTTTTCCAGTCTCCAGCTTGTTCTTGCCAATTCCTATCCAGCCATTAAACAGAATGGCTGGTTTTCCTTCACCCCACTCGGGACCTACTTCCAACTTAAATGTCCCAACTTGCTGCCTCTTAATACCAACACCACAGTGGCCTCCTTTGTGTCCTGTGTAAACAACTATCTCTAGACATGCATGAGCCACATAAAAACAGGGGGCAGGTGCCAGTAAAGCTTTCAAATCAGATTCTTCAAGATAAAAGCTGGATGCAACGTTGTGAATATCCGGTGTAGCTTCAGGTGAGGAAATATAGGGAATAGATGATGTCTGCACAGGGAAACCTCGAAGACGGATCTCGCACACACAGGGAGAAGAGACTGCACTTATCCCTGATTTTGTACTGTTCAAAGTAGTTGTTCCAGACAGTCTCAACCCCAGCGACCCTATTGACAGCCTAATGAAAGGCTGAGGATCCATTCTGGTCAAAACACCGCCATATGTAGTATGCTTTGATCTCGCTGTCTATTTATTAATCCTGTCAGTACACAAATTATAGTCAGGGTGAGGACATTTAAAGTAGTTAATAAAGCCAAACAGGAAAAATCACAAATTTCACATTCTATTGCAGAAAATAGGTTCCCCTATTATTCACTCATCATATAAATAAAAGAGCTTCCAGAAAAACCTTCTTTAAGAAGGCTAATAAGCTGATGTAATGCATAGAACCCTTTGATATGACCAGGCACTGCAAGATTTAAATTACAAACAAATAGGATGAAGAAATTTTCACAAAGAAAAGAGAAGGGCCACACTTTCCACAAACTTGAGTTAATCCAAAGTTGAAATCATACACATCCAAATTGAGAAAACAAACTGAAACTCACCCCTCATAACTATAAGGAGGAATAGAAAAGACCGAGCAGTTGCATTTCTTTATGATATCTCTATGAATAAACTGTGAACCATTTTACAACCAGTCGACTGATGAGGTCACAGATTTACTTGGTATATGCTGCAAATTTTAAAAGGAAAATTTCGACAAGTTCCATGATCGGCTATTTCAGATCCAGCATTATTAAATGAATTTTTCAAAAATGGTAAATAGAAGTTGAATGCAAAATGGGCAATATCAATTCCCTGTGGTTTGGGAAGTACCGTATCAACACTTAATGTTTCGTAATCATCAAGCACACATATCTATTATACAAGCGATACTGTATTACAAAGGATTTCCTAAGGGATCAAGTCCACAGTTTTTCAGCAGATACTAATTATCATACTTGTGCAATGCTAGAAGAAACAGATAGTGTGATCCTTTTAGAACAAGAGATATAGGACATCAACATCTCCATGAAATGCCCATGCGAATAGATATGGCAACATTGCAAGTATTTGTAAAAAATGTTACATCCCTCTCAAAATTGCACCACTTGTTGAAGCAACAACAACAACAACAACAACAAACCCAGTAGTTTCCTACAAGTGGGGTCTGGGAAGGGGAAGATGTACGCAGCCTTACCCCTATCCCTGGAAGGGCAGAGAGACTGTTTCCGATTAACCCTCGGTTAGAGAACGGCTGAAAAAAGAAAAGGTAATTGCAACACGTAGGAATAACAGCAAGATAAAATAATATCGAATCCAACAATGCAGTTAAACTCTAGGTAGTAATAGCACTCTATGAATAAAAAGATATCATACTAACATTAATGCTAGCAAACTGAGTAAGACAAAGAGAAACGCTCAACTTCCTACTAACCTTCTACCCTAATCTTTGACCTCCAAACCCTCATCTCTAGGTTCATGTCCTCCTCCAGCTGCGCCATGTCCCGCCCAATAATCTCGCCCCAAGATTTCTTAGGCCTACCTTCCTGCTACCCACCGAAGCTAACCACTAGCCCCTTCTAACTGGGCTTCTATACTTTACTCTTAACATGCCCGAACCATCTCAACCTCGCCTCCCGCATCTTATCCTCCACATGGGTCGCTCCTACGCTTCATTCTTAATCTTATCCAACCGGGTATGCCCACACATCCAACTCAAAATCCTCATCTCAGCTACTTTTAGCTTCTGGGTATGAGTGTTCTTGAACAGCCAACACTCTGCTCCATACAACATAGTAGGTCTAACTACAACCTTGTAGAACTTACCTTTAAGTCCCAGCGGCACATTCTTATCACACAAAACACCGGAAGCGAGCCTCCACTTCATTCATACTGCTCCGATATGATGCGCGACATCTTCACTAATCTCCCCGTTACCTTGTATTATAGTCTTAGCGGCACCACTTCTTGAAGCTTTTTCACTATAATTTGTAAAAGTGCCAGACTATTGTAATCCGTGCGAATTGTATTATTCACTTCATTTCCAGGTAAAATAGCTTAACAAGGCTCATAAAAAGCCTTTTCTTCACTAGAAAAAGTTTAATAAAGCTGTTCCAGAGCATGTACTGCAATCCACCTTTATGCCTTAAAACTCCTTTTCAACTTTTACAGTTTACACAAGCAATCATATCTAGGTTACAATTTAGAAACTTCATGTTCACAGAATTCAGAAAAACCATAGTCAATTCTATATAGCAATAAATAGTTTGCCAACAACAATAGCAAATTCACTTGAGCTAGCAATTTGCTGAAAAACCAACTAACTAATAGTATTACAAAAACCCTTTAAAGATACAATTTAATTTTTACCCATTAATTGAGCTTAACATGTTCAAACAAGAATTTTGTACAGTGAACAAAGGTCAACCAACTTTTAACATTTACTCAGAATTAAGACATAACCAAAGTCAAAACCACATAATACATGAAAACTAAACACCGGATTATAGATTAATACTGTAATAAGAGAAGAAAACAAACCAAAAGAACCCACCTTTATATTACTACTATGAAGCTTTATCTTCTTTTATAGAAAAACCAAAGCTATTTTTTGAGCTGCTACCACTCAAATCCTTCCAAAAGCCTGGCAAAATCCTCATAACTTTGTCATTCAAAAAAGTTTCACTTTCAAAATCAATACCCAAAACTCCAAAATGGGTCTCTCTCTCTCTCTCTCTCTTCTTAATTTAGTAGATCCCAATTATAAAGCGAATGATTCAAAGATAGGTGGATATATAGCAATGATTGAAATAAACCCACCAAAACACAAGAATTAGTAGTATCATGTAGACTATGCACAGATCACGAGAAGAGCCAACTTTTAATATTCTCTCTATTAATAAGGGAGAATAAGCACACACCAGGTCAACATGCCTGCCTGGCGTTGCTGAGGGTATAATTGTCCTTACACCTAGCCTTACCTACGTATAATTGTGTGTGAGAAAAAGATTAACATCAAAGGCTTTCCCTGCGTCTGCTGGGTCAGATGCCTAAGAGACGACCACGTGCTACTTTGGATTTTGGGTAAACGGTGGACAATCGAAAGTTTTAGGATTTTTCTACTGAAAGCTTTGATTCAACTCACACACACTTTCATCTCTCTCTATTTCTGCTGTGCTTCTTCGACTTTATCATTGTTGCTGATTTGCCTTTTATCTTGGTGAGTTCAGTTCATGCTGTATTATTTCGATTTTTCTTCTTCTAATTTTGTCATAGTTGTTGACGGAGGTAACAGTTATGGGTGGCCACCGCCTGATTCCCCATGGATGGTGGTTTTGATAACTTCAAAGTTATTTTGGGGAATAAATTATTTCTTTGATTTACTAAAAACCTAGAACAAACCCACAGTATAAAGTAGGTTATCATCGAAATAGCCTTCTGTAAAGTTAGCGTATCTTCCGCTTTCCTGTTTTTCCATTTGCCTTGAAAATAGGCGACTTTGTTAATGGGTTATTTGGGGTGTCTTTTGCTTTGGGTTTACTGTTGATTTATGATTAGATTTATGGCATGCAATTGGTTCGTAATATTTGCGCCAATCTTGAAGTCTGGTTCCCCTTTTAAGCCGGCTACCCTCTTTTCAATCTTTAGACATCTTTGTTTGTTCCTTCTTTGATTTTGTGGTATATATGATTATCCCATGTCAGTTGGATACTTGTAATTATTTTGAAAAAATAAATAAAAATTATGATTGATTAATTTCTATTTTAAGTCCACTGTTTGTAATAAACTGGGTCCACCTGGATAGATGGGTTATGAATATAGAAAATTACTCTTATCCGACATTAACAACTTATAATTCCGGCTAAGTTGAGTGGTCAATTTGGGGATTCAGAATTTGATTTTCTGTGTTTAAGTCATTATCGTCGAATCCTATGGTGGTTTAATTCGATTGATTAAACATTCTTTAAGTAAAAGATGGCGAAGTGGGTTAAGCAATAAGAACAGCTTGCCACTCAAAGAAGTAAACAAAATGTTATTTGCCATGACGCACTACTCATACTTTGCGAGATTAAGGTAATCTTTATCCATGTTTAAGGTTGTTTAATTTGACACCATATAATAAGTTATAATGGTGTAATGAATAGTAGTAAACAACTTCAGTGGCTGATGTTAGATATTAAAAGTCCATGTACATTTCCTCATTTATTGCCTTTGATCCCCAAAGCAACAACATAACAGTATTACATGGTTCACCCTTCATGTACATAGAATTAAGAACAATTTCACAAGCATGTTTTGCCTTAATCTTAATTTTGATGTAGTACGGTGGAGCAATTTGAGGTTGCTCTCAATTCATTGACGTGCATGTCTGTGCGGTGACCAACAGTGCACCTCTTTTTGCTGCCCTTAGTCACACATCTCCGCGAATGGGGTGGCCAATCCAAAATTTGGGTGGCTTTTCATATTCGGAATGTTGCTTACTCTTTTCTTTGCTTCCGCTATTTAAAATAAAGCTAAAGATCTAAAAAAAAGGTACACTAAAGTAACCAGAATATTGAGTCTTCGCTCTTGACATCTGCCTCTTCAAGTGTTTTTAAAGTCATCTTGTTATCTATACTTCTTCAAGATCCGTTCGCTTTGTGCTGTCCTCATGTTTTTCTATTCAATTATGCATATTGTATAATTTTTTTAGTACATTCTCCTTCCTTTTTCTTTTGGATTGATAATAAAAAACATAAGAAAGCTCACTCTTTTGATGAATGTGAATTATCTACTATTTTCTTCAGTTGGAGATGTAATTGTATGAAATAAATGTGCGTACTGTTGTATTGTTTGTGCATCCTATTTGTTATTTGGTATCTTTTCGCTCATCTGAAATGTGCTGATGTAAGCTTTAGTATTACTAATAGTGTGTGTTAGCATTGACTATGATAAATCCTATAAATTGATGGAGCCAAAATATATTCTGCTGCAATTTCTTAGCTTGTGGAAATGGCAGACACTCATTGATTTCATAACTTATGGATTAAACATTTATCTTGTGCACTACAATTACATTTGTAATTTCATTAATCTTTTATATCTTTTTTGGACATTTCATGAAGAGCCTGCGATTTAAAATTTCTACAGGTAAGAAAAGAGGAACTTCAAGTTGCGTAGCTGATGGAGTCTAGGAATACAAATAAATGTTCATATGCACAAAAAAGGAAGACTGCAATGCAACTTAAACGACGTGATACGTATAACCAAATATCTGCTCGTAGAAGGGAAGCATTGTTACTATCACGACGTATGAGAAAACAAGATTCTGGAAAACATAGGCTTCTTGAAGATCCCATTGTTGGTGGCTTAGAACAGGGAACACCATCTTGGTACAAGGGAGGATTTCCAAAACAAACTGCTCTTACCATACGAGAACCTGCTGGCCTACTTCAAAAAGGTTATATTTTTAGTCATTTTTAGCTACCATATATTGTTAATGTACTGCTGCACACTTATTTTTATAGAAGATTGTATGACCACTTATTTGTCTTAATTGAATTAAATGAGATATGCAATATTCTGTGCTCTTTATCGCTTTGTTTAGTGCCTATTAACGCTTTACTGTATACCTTTAAACATCATAAGGATCTTTTGACAGTAGATGGAGAGCCTTGTAGTACTTTTAGAGAGTCTGTAGAGAAAAGAGGATTGTTACACTGTGATTACAACTTGATAGAGTGTATGTCTGAAGCTGCAAGTTACCAAATGCCATATAGTTTAAGGCGTTTATTTGCTACATTATTGGTATATTGTGGTCCTGCTAACCCTAGAAAATTATGGGAGCAATTTGAGGAATCAATGACCGAAGACTACAAAGTGTTGCAAATTACTAAAAGAAGTGAAATCCGATATCAAGTTTTGAATCATATCAACGACATTCTACATTCTATAGGTCATGATATAAATGAGTATGAACTCATTTCAGAAACTATTAGGCCTTCTCTCGCAGCAAAAGAGGCAAAAGAGATTCATTTTGAAAGATCTATTACTGTCAGTGAAGACGACGTGTTGTTACATAGGAAATTAAACAAAAATCAACTCATTGCATATAATATGATTACTGAAAGGATATTTTCGAACAAAGCGGGTGCCTTTTTCGTGGATGGTCCAGGAGGAACAGGGAAAACTTTTTTATACCATGCTTTATTAGCAACTGTACGATCTATGGGATATATAGCTTTGGCAACAGCTACTTCTGGTGTTGCTGCTTCTATTCTTCCAGGAGGACGTACTAGCACATTCGCGTTTCAAAATTCCTATTGACACTGATGAAAATACCAGTTGTAACATTAGCAAAGAAAGCTCACTTGCGGGTTTAATACGCGATGCAAAATTGATTGTATGGGATGAGGTATCTATGGCCAAAAAGAAAATGTTGGAAGTTTTTGATCTACTATTAAAAGATCTAATGGATACAAATGCAGTATTTGGCGGAAAAGTTGTAGTTTTCGGAGGTGATTTCAGACAAACTCTTCCTGTTGTACGATACGGAAAATAGAAGATTTCATTAGCGAAAGTTTGTTATATTCTAGCATTTGGAATGAACTTGAAAAATTAAAGCTATCTGAAAATATGAGAGCAAAAACAGATGCTGCATTTTGTGATTATTTGCTAAGAATTGGAAATGGACAAGAACAAGTAAATTCAGCAAACAAGATTGAAATTTCAGATTCATTGATTATTCCTTGCACAACCGAAAAAGAATCTCTAGATAAATTATTCACAGCGACATATTCAAATTTGGATTCGTTATACTCTAATTCATTCTATACAGATTCCCGTGTGATCTTAACAACAAAAAATGATTTTGTCGATGAAATTAATGACATGCTTATTGATCGGTTCACTGGAAAATCAAAAACATATATTGGCACCGATGAAGCGATTGAATTTAACAATCAAACACAATTCAAAGATCTATTGCACACTTTAAATCCTCCTGGTTTGCCCCCTTATAAATTATGTTTGAAAGAAAATTGTCCAATTATATTATTGAGAAATTTAAATCCATGTGAAGGTTTGTGTAATGGCACGCGATTGAACTGCTGTGATTTTAAAAGTCATATTATCAGTGCTAAGATTATGACAGGTGATTTCAAGAATATGCATGTGTTTATACCGAGAATACCATTATTATCATCACAAGATGAAAAGATGCCAGTTCAATTTAAAAGAACACAGTTTCCTGTTAGACTATGCTTTGCTATGACAATAAATAAAGCACAAGGACAGACTTTAGATTTTGTTGGAATTTATTTGCGAGAACCTGTATTTTCACATGGTCAGCTTTACGTTGCCTTGTCGAGAGCAAAGAGTTCAAATTGTGTGAAATTATTGATCCGACCGTCTACGCCAACTAGCCATGACGATCATTCTACATCTAATATTGTTTATGATGAAATCATTAAAAAGGCAGCTGCTTGATGTCTTCGATATACGTTATTTTCACAGGTACTTTGTTGTTGCCCTGTGTACCCATTTTTCTGACATGCTTTTATGCTCTCTGATTGCAGTTGCTCCGTCTACCTTTGAGAAGAGCACGTATTACTTTAGATTTTGGGTGAATGGTGAACAATCAAAGATTTTCGCATATGACAAAAATTATCCACAATATTATACTTTGATACTCTTTCCTTTTCCTGCTTTGTTTCTGTGCTAATTAAATATCTTTTAGCTGATAAGTTAATTTAACTGTTGTTCTCTATTTGACAGATACCTCAATTGAGGAAGAGACTCCCACCCTCGATGATGTCGATATATCATGTATTTGAGATATGAATTTGGAATACCAGCTTGCTGATTCAAATGGAAAAAATTGTGGCACTGATATATTAAAATTGTCTGATGCAGGTAACTCATCTGTTTATGAGGCTCTGCGATCAGACAATCACAATTGTCTGCCATTTAATGACATATCAACCTATTAACTGCTCGAGGTGTTCAAGAAGAAGTTTGAACGTCAAACTTCTGTCACAAAAGGAATGACTAAAATACCACATAACATTTGGTATGCAAAATCAAGACGTGGTAGGATAACAATCAGCTGATCTGAAGGTATGTCACTATTAATATCATACGATAATTTGCTCTGCCCTTTTTGCACTTTTGTTTTAACATATTAATCAATTATCTGTAGGACAATGGTCATGGAATGCTATTTACAGTGAGAAAGGGAAGTGATTACTTCCTCCAATACAAGTACCATCAGAATGCATAAATTAAAAAGAGAAAAACGACTTCATGGTAAAGCTTTGTTTATTGCTTTTCACATAACTGATAGGATCTTTGTTTTTATAACAGTAACATAACATGTGAATTAGTCGACATTGAGTGGGACAACCTTGGCTTTGGCTACTGATTATATGTATGTCATGAAATGTTCTCAAGGTGAAAACTTCTCTAAGGGTAAATTACAATGTTTCGATAACATTGAGTTGAGCCCATCCGCTGAAATATTAAATTATGGATAGGTTAGTTTTTACACTTTTGTATTATGATAGTATCTCATGAAACTTTTCTTATTCTTAAATATATTTCTTCTTTGTTATTCATTTCAACGGTTACTTATTCAGTTCATGTGTCAGAGTCACTAAAAATGCTATTGGAAATATTAATAGGGATTGTTCGAAGCTTTAAAAGCATATCGCAAACAGGACGCCAATATATTGTTGTTTCGACCTGAGGAAAATGCAATACGCTTCAACGTGGGTGCTGAACACATGTGTATGCCTTCACCATCTGTTGAACAATTTGTGTAAGCAGTAAAAGCCATTGTTTTATCAAAAGAAAGATGGGTAATGTGTTACTTCTCTTCAGTTAAAAATTATCTTACCGAGTGATTCATGTGCCCACTAATCCTTTTTTCTTTGCTTATTTCAGATTCCTCCTTTAGAAAAAAGTTCAGTCATTTCACTGTTTACACTGCTATTATTTACTGCCAATGATAAAGTTTGGACGACTATTTCATATTAGCAGACTCGCAGCATCAATAAATGAAGACGTAGAATCCTTTTTTCCAGATGGGAGATAATTCTCCTACTAATCTACACTTTGTAAAGTTCTATCATCCGTAAAATTCTTTTTCTTTTTCTTCTTTGCATTTTGCACTTTGTATTTTACACTTTAGTGGATTATTCTGGCAACTTCACGGGACCTTGTGCCTAGGAGATAATGAACCAAGGAAAACTACATCTTTCACTAACAAAAAGATTTGGCACAAAGATTATTTCTTTTAACTGTTCTTTCTTACTATGGAGAACTTTAACGAACAATCAATCTTCTTACTGATCATAAAGTTTCCAATTTTGCACACCAGCTGGTATCAAGATGTGTCTGCTGCTATACATATGCCACCGACTCAGTGAATGACATCTGCTACACAGGTTATTTTGCTAAAAATATTTGAGGGTATTATACTAGCCCTGCAGAACCCTTACATATAACTTTTTATTAGCATGATTATTTTAGTGTCTCTATTGAAAAATACTGTAGAATTGATTGTGAGACTTGCACTTTATTCAATTTGTTTAACTAAATAGCATGTCCTGCATTTCTTATGGTCTACTCTCACTGTCTTTTTCACAATAGGAACCAGTAGTTAATTCTTTTCTTCCTGAATTTTCTTTAGAATCCAGTCTACGCCATGTACCTACATCAACTCCTGAAAACAATTGACTGAAACGATAAAAATAAAGTCAGCTTCGCTGTCATCTGAGCTTCGACAAAAGGTAACTTCTTCCTTTCTGTTGGACAATGGGAAAAACTATTGAAGAGATGTTCATCTTCGTGACTAATCATATACCTTTTTTTTGGCAGAGTTCTTTCAATTACCCAATTATCATATCTTCCTACATGCAAGCTTGTATTCATACATTGTTGCTACTTGAGAACTCTCCCGCTAAATTGCGCTTACAATGTCATTTCAAAGTGGATCTATAAATATTAAAATATAGACGCATTTGTCTAGGAACATTCATGTCATTGATGCATTCCTCCTACTCGATTGATATTAGGAGCTTCATTCCATCCTGTTTTGTCACACCGTTGATGATTGAGAGCTTCTTCCCTTACTCATTTGGAGTTTACATTCCAGTGGCACATTAAAACATTCCTGCATATTCAAATTTTATACTGGTTACATATGGTTGTTTAAGTGTATAAATGGAGTGTTCAATGTGCTTTCATTAATTTGTTCACTTTCTTTTGTGATTTAGTTTGCAGTCATTGAGTTTAATTTTTCCCTTTATATCCAAATTGTTTTCTCTTTTTTGATTGTTCCATAACTCTTTCATTATCATTGATCATTTGTACATACCTGATTTTGCAGCTTCTTGATGGATTTTCAAACAGATATGACTAATCTGTCGCTCCTTTATCTTTACGTTCATAGAACGTCGCATTCTTGAGCCTTGAGCTTCAACCCTTCAATCTCTTCCAATTTCCTCCAATCTTCAACTAAAGGTGATCTTTATGGAATTTCTGTAATTTCTTGGTGTGTGTGTTTATGGGTTTGGTTTTTTATCTGTGATTCATCTGATAAGATAATCTATATGCGTCTTCGGCTTAAAAACTGATCTTTGTGGAATTTTTGTGTTTTCTTGGTGTGTGTGTGTGTGTGTGTGTGTTGGGTTTGCTTTTTAATCTCTATGACTGATCTGATAAGATAAGCTATATGTGTTTTAGCTAATAGAGTGATGGAAATTTTGTGTGTGTTTGTTTTGTTTTTCTTGGTGATCTAGCAGGACAACAATTTCAATATAATTTGAAATGCTCTCTACATCCGAGTGAAAATGAAGGGGCTAAAGTCCGGCCAGAAAGTCCTGAAGATCACCTTACAAAATCTACTGGCTTTGCAATTGTATTCAACTCCGAAAAAAAGCCAAGGGTTCAACATGTGGAAGGAGAGAACATATCCAATGCAATTCCTTCAAATGCTTATATGAGGCACGAGTTGATTCTTGTGGTACTTTTTCGGCCCAGTTGAAAGATAGTACTATATTCTGTGATAGTAATTCTAATTTCTAACATGTTACACATATTTGTATCAGCAGATGTTACTGCAAACCCATACATTTTTTGGGTAAAATATTTGTGATCTTTTATATCTCTTCTAAGTACGGCTCAGTAACAGCTCTGGAGTCTTCCATTTCTCTACACATGCCTATCCGTTGGAAATATTGTCACTATACCTTTTACTTACAACAGTATAGTTCTCTTCATATCCCCACTAGTCCTATACTATAAAGGGGGATAACCAAGCAGCTCATGATCAACATGTCTGCCTGGCCCAAATATTTCAACACGTGTAGCCCAATTTTAATAGCTATCAATTCACCTTTGATTTCTCTTACTATATCCGATACTTTCCAAGTTTTATCTGCAAAGCTCTCTTCTTCAAACGCCTCTTTACTTCATATCTATGCTCTCTTGCTCCTCCCCTCTGATCTATTGCTATTTTCTACTGGGTAATCTTCTTCTCATCTTGTGTATTTTGTATTGATTTTGTTTCAATCCTTGATAATATGGTAGGTATTTGTGTTTTCCCCTGAATAGCGAATAAATTTTGTTCTCAAGGTGTTTGACAAAATTCTTCAATCAGGATTTCTACTAGATTTGTTATACATGTTCCTGTCTGTTGTTTTCCTTGGTTTCATTCTTTGGTTGTATTTTGGGTTAGGGCTTTCATGTACTTCTTTAGCGCTTGAGATATACCAAGGGGCAATGGCTGAAGTTTATGCTAAATTGATCAAGAAAAGGGCTATTTCTTTGTTTTGGTTCAGAAAAGAACAAATTTATTTCCGTATCTTTAATAACTTCGTTTGGTTTTTATTTCTGAAAAATGTCTTGTACTGTATAGAGCAAATGGGTCCCATGCAACTGCTTTGTACTTTCATTTTCTTGAGTAGGAGAACTTCTTTTTAAAAGAAAGTGAACACTCTTTAGGATAACTAAAGAATACAGAGTAGTAATTTGAGATGGGGCGTATTAAAAGATTTGTAATATTTATTTTCTTCAATTTATCTGCTTATGTTGCAAAAGTAGGACAGAAAATTGAAATACCTGAGTGGTCAAGACAAGAAGAAGAGCACAAAGGAAATTCAAGCTTTGCTTATAATAAGCTTTCATAACAGTAATAGCCCCAACGGAATAAGCATCACCACCTCCAATGGAAACACCACAATTGGCCATAACTGTAATAATAACATGCTCTTTGATATTAAATGGCCCTGGATTTAAACTAACACCCCATCTCCCAAACAAAGTGTAATTCTTTTTAGGAAGTGTAGCTGCCATGAATTTCTCAATTGGGAGCACAGCTATTCGCATGAGAATAGCTGAAATAGTTAAAGGTTGAGTTCTGTAAATAAAGAAAGTGTCGAGAAAAATCAAGAGAGTGCATGAAGTCGGTCCAAGAAACCATGCTCTGAATGTCATTACAGGTAAAGTGGGGTCGTCTGTTTCTGGAACTACCAATGCCACCTCCTCCACCGGACATCTTTCGTGATCAGCTGGTGGCTCTCCGTTTAGCTTCCCGGCGGCTGACGGTGGTTGTGGTGGGATAGTGGTGGTGGTGGAGTTCTTGGTAGACATTGAGCTGTTTTTCAAGAATCTAAGCTAATACTTTGACAAACTTCTGTACTTTGATGTCATTATGTATATATAAGCTGTAGGAAGACAAAAGTGAGTTAGTATTACTAAATTACCCTTTATTTATAAAGAAAGTACTATTCTGTCCCCTCATTTTATAGGATTAACATTTAAGTTCTTGATTCAGCTTCTCTTGACAAGTATATTTCCAAGATATCAGGAATAAGTCAAAAATAATTTTGATTAAGTTAATATTGTAATTAACAATAACAAAAAAAAGTTAAATATTATATAATTGGTGACAACAATCTTATTACCAGTAAAATTGAGACCGAAGATTCACTTTGTACAGAAATTGATTAATATCATTTCCCTCTTAAAGAAACATAGTGAATACTTTGTACAGGAATTGATTAATATCATTTCCCTCTTAAAGAAACATAGTGAATATACTCTTGCAATTGAGTTGTATAAGCTGTTCCATTTATAGCTATTGTAGTTCTCGTGATTGAGGAGTATCTACATGTTCAATTAAACAACCATTAGATGTTGTTACGATTTTTCTTGTATATAGTGGTCAGAAAATAAAAGTCACATATATTTGAGTCTCAGTAATACTTTTTATTACTCTGATGTTATTCGCTTCAGATGTTACCTCTGCCAGCAAACTGTTTTTATTTACTTCGTGTGTTTTATTTCTATAATTGCAGTTTTGTAGGAATAATGGGTTTTGAACAAAAAAACAAACATGTTTGCTTCGCAAAATCAAAAGCTGAGATGAAACTTAGGCGACATGAAACGTACAAAGTAATATCTGCGGAAAAAAAAGAAGCATTGTTAGTACAACGACGAACAAAAAGACAAGAGTAAAAAAGGAGTAGTCTTTCTGAGAATGTTGCTTTTCCTGGCGCTACTCCAGCTGCAACTGAGTTTCAGCAACAAATTGTTTCTCTTAGGAGCTCCTCTTCTGTCTCAAAAACAGGTTAGAATACATCTTTTGTTATTTTATTTTTTTAGAAATGTCCCTTCACGCTTTTTGCATGTGAGTATAATTGAATGACGGTAAATGTGTGTTGTGTTTCCCCTATTAGCCAACGAGCGTCACGTTGATACTTTGGAAGTTACATTTGACAAGCGAAAGATTATAAATTATCCATTCTACTCATTTGAAGTAGGTAAGTATCAAGAATACAATGTTGATTTTTACATAATGCCTTTATTTATTCGTAATTTATTACTTTTTGACGTTAGGATCAACGTCACGTGCATCTAATGAAAATAGTAGTATGAGCTCAACAATGGTTGGGAAAAAAGGTTTGCACCAATCTTTTATTATGATACTGTTATATATTACTTAATTGGTAATTTTATGCTAATAATACTTAAATATACAGGTTATAACTCAAAAAAAAAAGAGTTATACATACGTAGGTCAGTTACAATCTGATTATGTTCCCTTGAAGACTGTTCCTAACTGTAAATTTTGTGGTGCAAAAAAATTTGAATATGAACCACCTGGATTCTGCTGTAACAATGGTTTGATCAAGTTAGCTTCACATGAGATGCCTGCTGAACTACAAAATTTATATTTAGGGACTACTGAAGAATGTAAACATTTTCGAACATATATCAGAACATACAATAATATGTTTGCGTTTACATCACTTGGTGTAAATTATGATAAAGAATTAGCAAAAAGAAATCGTGGTATTTATACATTTAGAGTTCAGGGAAAGATGTACCATTTTATAAATGATTTGCTGCCTCCGAGTGGAATAGCAAAAAATCTACAACTATACTTCTATGACAACGATAACGAATTAGCTAACAGAATGGCTTGCTCTGAGAAAATCCATGAATCAATAGTCAAAAAGCTAATGAACATACTGAGAATTAATCCATACTCTATTTTCTTAAAATCCCTAATAGATGTTCCAAATCTATCGAACTACAATATTGCACTTAAATCAGACTTGGGTTTGGATCAACGTGTATACAATCTTCCTACTACATCAGAAGTTGCAGGGATATGGGTTGAAAAAGAAATCACCGAAGTTAGTTCTGCACCTCATATTCGAATCTACACTCATAGCAACAGATCTCAAATAGTGAACTACTATTACTGATATTATGATCCGCTACAATATCCACTATTGTTTCCATATGGTCAAAGTGGATGTCACTGTGGCATTAAAAAAATTATACAACCAAAAGATACTTCTAAACGTCGAGCCTATTGTGAACACGAAGAATTACCAACTATTAGAAATATGTGTTCTGTTGATGGATATCTTGACATGGAAGCTCAAAATCTTGAAAAGGGAAAACGAAAAAGAGATAATATCTCTGTTCGTGAATATTACTGTTATAAATTCCAAATGAAAGAAGATGAAACAAATGAAACTTTGCATTCTGGAAGATTATTTCAACACTATTCAGTAGATGAACACATAAAACTTGAAACACAGAGATTAGACTTTTTTTCATTCAACCCAGATCTCTTTAGAATAGAAATGCTACAAGGACTCATTGATATTTTAAGACTTGGAGAAAGAGACGCTTCAAATATAGGAAAACAAACATTCCTTCCTGTTACTTTTATAGGCGGATCAAGAGACATGCGTCGACGCTACATGGATGCTATTTCTTTGGTACAACAGTTTGGAAAACCTGATCTATTCATAACGATGACTTGTAACCCATCTTGGCCCGCGATAAAAGAGCACTTGCTACCAACTGATGAAGCACAGAACAGACCTGATTTAATTAGTCGAGTTTTTAGGGCAAAGATAGAAGAACTAAAAACAAATATATTAAAAAGAAATATCTTTGGAGAAGTTGCAGCTTTTATGTATACTATAGAATTTTAAAAACGTGGTTTACCACATGCTCATTTCCTTATTATACTTACTAATGAATACAAACTACTCACTCCAGAATCTTATGACAATATTGTTCGTGCTGAGTTACCTGATTGTAAAGTTGAAGAAACCTTATATAAACTTGTTCTTCAACATATGATGCATGGACCTTGTGGTAAGTTAAATCCTACAAATTCATGTATGCAAAAGAAAAAAGGTTGTTGCAAATTCAAATATCCAAGAAGCTTTGCTGATCAAACATCAAAAGGGAAAAATTCTTACCCAATTTATAGAAGACGGAATACGGGACTTGTGAAAGTCAAAGATCACAATTTCGATAACTCATGGGTTGTCCCTTATAATTCATTCTTACTCGGAAAATTCAACTGCCACATAAATGTTGAAATTTGTTCAGATATTAAAGCTGTTAAATATTTTATAAATACATATGCAAAGGACATGATAAAATCGCACTTCACATACATGACAATGACGCAAATGTTGAAGTAGATGAAATAAAAGAATATCAGTCTGCTCGATGGGTATCACCGTCTGAGGCTACATGGCGTTTATTTGGTTTCCCTATTAATGAAATGACACTAGCCATTTATCATCTTTAGTTACATCTTGAAGGACAACAATTTGTTTCTTTTAAGAGTGCATCGAGTATAAACTCAATTATGAATAATCCTATGATTAGAAAAACAATGTTAACAGAATTTTTCGCTATGAACAAAACAAATAAAGATGCAATAAAGCTCAATCTACTGTATAAAGAATTTCCACAATATTTTGTATGGTCAGTACAATATAAAATGTGGACCCGTCGAACAAAGGGTAATGTCATTGGACGTGTTGTAACATGTCATCCAACAGAAGGTGAAAGATATTATCTGAGATTATTATTAATGAATATAAGAGGACCAAAATCATATGAAGACCTACTAACTGTAAATGAAGTACGTTGCGATACATTCAGAGAATCAGCTCAAAAAAGAGGACTACTTCATTGTAACAATAACTTAGCTGAATGTATGCTAGAAGCTGAGAGTTATCAAATGCCATGTAGCTTGAGACGCTTGTTTGCTACATTGTTGGTATATTGTGATCCTGCTAATCCAAGAGAATTGTGGGAGAAATTCGAGGCTCTATGTCTGAAGACTTCAAAGTTTTACCAGATATCGGAACAAAAAGTGTTCGATATAAAGTTTTAGATTGTCTCAATGACATCTTACATTCGATGGGACATAACATTAATGAGTATAAACTTATCCCTGAAAATTTCAAGGCTTCAAAGGCTGCCAAAGAAGCAAGAGAAATATTCTTCGAAAGAAACATAATCATTACTGAAGAAGAGCTATTACTACGACAAAAGTTGAACTGTGAACAACAGATGGCATACAATGTGATTATAGATAGAATATCTTCGAACAGAGCGGGAGCTTTTTTTGTTGACGGTCCTGGAGGAACAGGTAAAACTTTTTTATATCGTGCCTTATTAGCTACTGTGCGATCTAAAGGATTTATTGCTCTAGCAACAACAACCTCTGGAGTTGCGGCTTCGATTCTTCCAAGTGGCCGTACAGCTACTTCCCGTTTTAAAATTCCCATTGACATTGATGAAAACTGTAGTTGCAATATTAGAAAACAAAGTTCACTTGCCTGTTTGATTCGAGATGAAAAATTAATTGTATGGGATGAAGTACCGATGGCAAAAAAGAAAATGATTGAAACTTTTGATCTACTTTTGAAAGATCTCTTGAATACTAATGCGCTTTTTGGTGGTAAAGTTGTTGTCTTTGGTGGTGATTTTAGACAAACTCTACCAGTAGTTCGAAACGGAAAAAGAGAGGATTTTATTCATGAGAGTTTATTATATTCTGACATTTGGCCCCGACTTGAAAACATGCGTGCAAAAACTATCAGAAAACATGCGTGCAAAAACTGATCCGGCCTTTGTGAATATTTGATGAGAATAGAAAATGGAAAAGAACCTCTTACTTCTGAAAACAAAATTGAAATTCCAAAATCATTTATTTTGTCCCTTATACTACTGAACAGGAATCTTTGAATGCATTATCTGAAGCAACATTTCCTAACATGCATGCTTTCTTCTATGATGCATCTTCTGTAACTTCCCGCGTTATTTTGACGACAAAAAATGATTTTGTAAATGAAATAAATGATATGCTTATAGGAAAATTTCCAAAAGAAGCTAAAACATTCGTTGCAATTGATGAAACATGTGAATCGAATGATCAAAGTCAGTATGAAGATTTTTTGCGTTCTTTACATCCTGCTGGTTTACCTCCTTACATATTAACTTTGAAAGAAAATTGTCCAATTATATTACTACGAAAATTGAATCCTTGTGAAGGTTTGTGCAATGACACAAGATTGACATGTTGTGATTTCAAAACACATGCTATAAGCGCAAAAATTGCAAGCGGTGACTTTAAAAATACACATGTGTTTATTCCGAGAATACCATTGATGTCATCAGAAGATGAAAAATCCCCAGTGCAGTTTAAAAGAACACAGTTTCCAGTAAGACTTTGTTTTTCTATGACTATAAATAAATCACAAGGTCAAACATTAGATTTTGTTGGTATATATTTACGAGAACCAGTATTTTCGCATGGCCAGCTTTACGTTGCATTGTCCAGAGCAAAAGCTTCCAATTGTCTCAAGATATTAATTCGGCCTCCAAACCCAGATAGCGATGACGATCATTCTACATACAACATAGTTTACGATGAAATTATTCAAAAGGCTTTTCTGTGAATCTTTTACATGTTACTGTATAACGTCTGTTGAACTAAAGAAAGTTGAACATACAGTTTAAACACAAGAACACCCATCTTGTTTGTGGAACATGTACTTAAAAGGTTAAGTTGTGCTTCTATTT